GGATATGGAAAGAGTCTTTAGCTCCCATATTGGTAATAAAATAATTACTGGAAGATTGGCTACAACAATTATGTATACAATTATGTATTTGTATAATAAATTATTTGGATTTTTTCAATTCATAAAAAAAATGTTATTTAATTTGTTTTATAGAGAAAGCGGATTTTTAATATTTAATTTTTTTTATCCTTATAAATATAAGACAAAATCGATTTTCAGGTATATTCTACATTCTTATTATTAATCAAACTATATAAAAGTTACCCTCTATAAAGTACATCCCCGGGAATCAACATTAGGGTGAGGGTGCACCTTATAGAGGGTGCATTTATAGAGGGTTCACTTTATTTTGGTTTTTATTCAATCGCGTGTCATTAAATTTGTAAGATAATTAAATTTATCTGAATTTCGGAGATATGAGGTACAGATAATCGGAATATTTGAACATTGATTTTTCATATAAAAGAAATGTTGATTTTCTTTTTAAGACTTTGAATTGATAAGAAATAGAATTAACTGTGCTATTATTTTTAGCTTGAACGATACATGGAAAATGCACACAAACAAAAATACCATCAAACTCCCCGAATTTGTTGAACAAATTATTATACAACGATTTAACAATAATTCTACTAGATCACGTCAAATATGAAATCGGAAAACTTCAATCTCTCAACGATCCGGCAACATGTAATCGTAAAATGTTTGTTACGGCAGTAATGGCAACTTATCATATAATAATCAAAAAGATTTAGAATGAAAAATTTTAATGTAATCTGATTACGTATTATGTACTTAATGATCTTATTTTCATTTATAGTTGTATTTTATTTATTAAAAAAAAAATATTTTTAAAATTGATTGATTTTCATTTCAAGATCAAAATGACCCATGATGATACCAATGGTCCAGAATAGTTCTTCATCGATATATTTCAAGAATCACTTGGAAATTTGCAACATTGGCTTCTGACTGTTGTTTGTTTAACACGATGCGGATATTTTTCAAACTGGGTTCAGTTAGCATTAGTCATACATACGTAACCGTTACATTCTGCAAATAATTTAATGTAATATGGTTATTAAAATTATAATTACGATCAAACTTTAATAATTTATTAAACTTTATTAAATATAATTCATCATAGCCATCACGGAGGCTATACGATAATGATTGATATTATTCATTAAGAGTAAATATGATAATAAATTGGATATTTTTCGTTAACGATCTTAATATCGTTTTTAAAATATTTTATACTTATTTTTTTATTTTTTTTTATTTCACAGAATTTAAAAGGAAAGATTTATTTATAGCTATGGAATATGCGTAACAACATTCCATTTTTGACTCTTGATCTTAGTTATTAGTGTTGAGAGGAACGCGCAAGCAACGCTTGATGCAACGCGAGTGTGCAATGCAACGCATTGGAGATGTAGCAACGCCACTATTAATAATATATTATGATGAATATTAATTGTATAAAAAAAAGTTTATTTGATTAAAATGAGCTGGATATCCACGTATACGTACGGCCATAAGGAACAAAAGATAATTGTTCTTTGTGCCACTCAATAAGAATTCTCGAAGGTGTTCTATAATAACTATATATGGTCTTCGTAATACCAAACAAATAGATTAGCAAATACGATAAAATATGTAATGTTGGGCAAATATCTAATTTATCTAATTTGAAAGTCAAATTATTTTAAACTGCAATACCGTAATGAGTAATTATACTGGCAATGGTCACCAAGATGACTGGGGAGGCATGTACCCAGCAGAGACAAGAAATGAACAAAATGACAGTTTTCAGGAAATGAAAGGTTAACTATATTTGATATGTAAAAAAAAAAAAAATTATTTTTTTCAAGAATTTTTCAAATCATACTTATATACCTTTATGATATTTCCTAGCTGTAATGAAACAAATTAACCAGGATTGGGAAGAAATGACGAGTGAAGATGTAAGTTAAAATATTATTTCGAATGAAGTTATTTTCAAAACCAATAAAAATGTTTATAGTTTTTTTTTAGTTTAATCCGGTACCACTTTCTTTGCAATTGCTTGATGATAGTTCACTCGGTAGAGATTATAATTTTTTTCTACAAACAAAGAAAAATCTTGATAGAGCACTTCAGTTTATTGTAAATGGTTTGTTTTTCTTTATAGTATTTTAGATAAATTATTATTTTCATCATTCATCAATTATTTAATCATTAAAATATTTTATTTTGTAAATAAATTTCATTTTAAAGATTATTATCAAGGATTTAATAGTTCAATTGGTACATTTGGAGGAGTTATTCAAAGTATTGGAGGTATTTGTTATTTTCTATGGGACATTTTTTCCAAAAATTGTTGTTCAAATATTTGATATTTCTGAGAATGAATGAATGAATGAATGTAATAATCAATGATTTCGAATGATTAAAATAAATTTTAGATTCCCAAGAAAGAGTAAAAGAAATGAAAACAAGATTAAAATCATGCAAAGAGGCTTTGTTATCAAAACGATCAGATTTATTTCAGTTGTGGATACGTAGTCAACAATATAAGGAAATGATTCGAATATTGGATTTAATGTATGCTAATTGATTTTTTTTTTTTTATTATTTATTCATTATATTCATATATTCATTACATTTTGATGTAAATCATTTTTTTAAAATTTACTATTTGATAGAGAAGATTTTAAAGGCACACCTGAGAAATTAGAAGGATTGCTAAGAGAAAAACATTTTCTTACTGCATCTAAATTATTATTGGATTCAATACGAATGTTAGATAGAAAAGAGATGGTTGGAATAGGTGCACTTTCAGATTTACGACGATATTTAAAAGCACAACATAGCGTGAGTTTATATTTATTATTTTCATTATTTAATTTTGTTCTCGTTATTTCTTATTTTGAATTATAATTTGTAGTCACTTCACGAACTATTAATAGAGGAATTGCATGATCACTTATACGTGAAAAGTGCATATTGTGACAGTCGTTGGGTGAAATATATAAAGGATCAGAAAGAATGTAAGACTAAATTTTCTTCATTAGAATTTTTATTTTATTTTATTTTATTTCATATTATTAAAATTCAATTACATAATGTCACATAATCAGTACCTTCACCACTTATGGAATGGGATGGACGAGAAAATCGTAAAATGACTTTGTCGGGCACAAAAAATAAGAAGAATTTACAAGGTGAGAATGAAATTACAAAAGCGTATTTTCGATAAAGACTTTATTTAAAGACCATCCATTTGAAATAAACAAATAAATATATTTTTTTAGTGAATACGGGACATGGCTTTAATACACCATTGAGTCCAAAATCTCCCAAACCATTTGGAATAATATTTAATGAAGATGAAGAAATAGTAAGATAATAAAATTCAAAATTTTAAATGGTCTATCAAGTTAATCTTGAAATTTTTGAAACGAAAAAAAGAAAATATTATTGATGTATTTTTTTTTTTTTTTTTTTGTAGATTACTGAAAATCTTGATATCAATCCGGAAACTGATTCATTTTATTATATGGAAATTATAATTGAGTCTTTAGCAATTCTAGGAAAATTACCTCAAGCCCTTAAGGCATTATAATTATAATATTACTTTAGTGTCGTGATTTTTTAAAATATGTTATTTTATTTTTTCTAATGTTTAATAATATTATTTATAAATTATAGGCTATTACTCAAAGAATTCCAATAGAATTATATCAATTGGTGGATAAAACAGTTGCTGAGGTGGAAGAAAGGTTATATTTTTTATATCTAAAATGGATTCTTGTGTAATCATTTTTTTTAATTGTTACATATTAAAATTTTTTAAAAAAAATTTTTTTTATAGAAATGCTGATACGATCGCTATAATGAAAACAAAGAAAAATGATTCAGTAAATGGCTTTTCACTTGAATCACCTGAGAATGATACATACATGGAAATATTGAGAGATCTATTATGGACACTTTACTCAAAATTAGATGCTGTGATGCAAGGTCATCGATTTGTTGTTGATATTGTTGAAATGATAAGCAAGGTTATTATTATTATTCTTCTTCTTCTTATTTTGATGAGAATCTTCTATTTTTTGCATTCATTTTTATTTTCTATTAATATTTTTTTCAATATAGAGACCGGAATATTCTAAGATAACTGCTGGTATATATAATTGTCTCGCTGAAAAAAATTTCCTTACCTTTCTTTAATCATGAATTTATTTTTTCAATACAATTCAGAACCCCAAAAGATTAGACCTTATCCATTCTCTGAAATTTGGAAACCTGTTCAAAGTGAAGTAAGTGAATTATTTTATTTTAATAAATTTTTTATTTATTTCTTTTAATTTTTTATATTTGATGATTTGTGTTTATATAATTTTTAGGTACGAACACTTTTACGTGATTATATAACTGACGATGAAAGAGAAACAGTATCAACAAATGCACCCGAAACTTCAATTCACGATTTAATTGCGGATAAAAAGTCACGCGATGCAACAAAGGTAATTATATTCATAATAATAATAAATAAATTTTAAAGAAATAATTCTTAAATTTATTATTATTTTTTTTTTTTTCCTTTTTTTCAGCAAATGTTTAAATTTGGAGATGTTGATGCGACATCGAATACAACCCTTGATAATCAATATGAAATTGAAGTAAAATCTTATCTTCAAAATTCACTTCCCGAGTTATTTTCTAAGGTTCCCGATGAAAGACAGTTATCAGTATTTGTGGTGGATAGATTTGCAAATACAAATATAACTGCCGGACATCGACTTGTAGTTTACCCAGATGCATTTAATGTTTCAGTATTGTTCAAACCCACGTTAGCTTTCTTAGAGAAAGTGAAAACCATAATACCTCCTGGGTATTTATTTTATTTTATTTTTTATATAATATAGAAGTAATAATCTTTATTTTTTAATGAATAATTGATTTTAACAATTTTGAAATAAATATAGTGCGAATAGGTCTTCAGCAGATTTCACAACATTTCTTGATGACTTTGTATTCAATGTATTTTTGCCTCAGATTGGTGACAAATTATTTGATCTATTTCAAAAAGCAACCAATGGTATGATGCTCTTTTTAATCGTTCAAGAAAAAAAATTCAAATAATTTAATAATAATTTTGCAATTTATTTACTTTTTCTTGATTATAAATTTCCAGAAGCCGATGCTTTTCAAGAAGATCCAGATTATAAGAATTTTACCAATATGCCAGTAGTAAAAGTTAGTACCATTGATAATTTGATTTTCTGTGTTATTTTTTTTTAATCCTAATTTATCTAATTCATCGTTTTCTTCGTTTTGTTTTAATTAGAGTACTTCAGCCTTAATGAAGATAGTTGAAAAATTATGCATGATGCTTCATACCATGTCAAATCATCAAGAAGAATTTAGTCGTATGATTATTTCTTTGCTTACGCAGTATTACGTAAAATGTTTCGAACAATATCAAGGTAATTTATAATTATTTATTTTTTGTATTTTCTTTTATCATTGATATTTTTTTTTAAAAAAAAAAAGAAAAATTGACAATCGAATAAATAATTTACATAATTTCCTTTTTTTCAATATAGCAACTGTTACTAAAAATTCTAGTGAAACAGAAGAACCAGATGGTAGAAATCAACCAGGAATTAGTGCCACCTGGGTACAGCAAGATCAATTAACTGAAGTTTTGGGACAATATCCTTACCTTTTTGATTCCGCAAAAAACCGTAGAAAACGTAAAGTTTTATGTCAAAAGGTTTGGAATTTATATTGTGCTATTTGTGTTTTTTTTTTTTTAAACCAAAATTTTAATTTACTCACATTTTTTTTGTTCATTTTAGGAAATCCAAGTTGAGATGGATTTGAAAAAAAATAGATTAATTCGTTCAAGTGAATTAATTACAGAAAATAAGAAATTGATGTCTTTAGGGTCTTTATATCACAGCTTGGTAATAATATTTTTTATATATTAGTATTTTTGTAATCTTAATTTTTTAATTTCTTAATTGAATTATGTTTAAAGTATAATGTACGTAATTCATTTAATGTGCAAATATTATTATAATTTTTAGAAATGGTTTAATGCTAAGATATGGGAAATGAGAGGACGCAGTGCAAAATCAGCAAGTTCGAATGCTAACGCGATGGATGATAGTGGCTTGGTAAATTAAAATACTTTTGTTTCTATTGTCTATCCAAATTCATTCAGATTCTTTTGATGACATTTTGAAAATAATATGACAGGCAAAAATAAATAAACGTTGGTCACAATTTGGAGAATTAACTAATTTTGACGTTTCGCCAAAGGAAGAGAAAGACAACAATGAAACTCAAGATAATACGAGTTTACCTTTAACTGGGGAAATGGCAAAGTAGATATTTTACTGGATTAATCTTTTTTTTTCAAAACATTTTATTATATTTATTATCTAATTTTTTTTTTTTTTAAAAAAAAAAATCAATTATTATATTAGTCGACTTGATGCTTTGCTAGCCACATTCCAGCAACTAGCTGAACAATGCTTATTTACTTTGCGTGTAGAACTTCGTTGTCACGCGATGTATTATCTTGATTTAGCAACACGAGAGGTATTTATTTCTTATAAAGGGTTTTTTTATTGCAAAATTATTAAAAAAACATATTTTTGAATTTCTTTTGTATTTTTATTATTCTAGGGTAATTATCAGCTCGATTATGAAGCATATGAACCAGATCCATATGTTTTAGCATTGAATGCTGGCATGGCAAAATTTGAAGAAATTATATCAGTCAATTTACCATTATTAGAGCGAAGGCAAGTCTTTTTATAAATTATTATTATTACACTATTCATTTATTCAATTCGTATATTTTCATATTTCCGTACATTTTTATTACATTTTCATAACGTTTTCTGTTTATTCAATTTTAGATTTGTATTTGAAGGACTTGATGCATTAATGGAACATATTCTGATCCATAATGCTATCTATATAAGGAATCTGAATAGCAATGGTGTAATGAAAATGACACGTAATATCCTTGCTTTACAACAAAATTTAAAGAATATTGTTGATATGCCTGAAGAAATTTCATTGGATAAAAGTAGACAATATTATGAATTGTTCAATTTAGGACCAACGGTGAGTTTTTAAATCATCATTTTTATTTAGAATTGATTTTTGAAATGTGTGTTTGTTGAAAAATATTAAAATTTCAAATTGCTTTAAATAATGAAAATAGGACATGATTGCGCAAATAAGAGAACACGGGTCTCAATTTTCATTTGATGAGTACAAGACAATGTTACAAATTATGTTAAAGATTGATCCCAATGAAGTACAACAACAAGGAACTACTAAACGTGAAAGTCCTTCCTCTAATAGAAAATTGTATATTGATCATATTTTAGAATTAGAATTGTTGATTGATTACCAATAATTATTACATTTAAGCTTCATAGAATTTTATTATTTTTATTTTTATTTAATTTATTTAATTTAAACCTCAAAATTTGTATATTATTCAGATATATTACGTAATGTTGTCGATCGTAAGCATATGAAAGAAATATAGATATCATGAATTTTTTTGTTCGTTTCTAAATTTAACCATTATCTACGCCAAATTACATTCCCAATACATTTTCCGAAAGCAGATTATGCTTGTGTACCTTTATGCATGTATGTTAAGTTTTGTAAAATATAAAATACGTAGAGATGGAACGAACAGCATATTTTGATCCGAAGTTATTTTAGTTTTGATGTATAATTTGATTATAATTTTCATACCCAAAGAAGATTATCTTGGCAACAATTTGTGCTTCCCCAAAATTTATTTTGTTAATAGAAATAGAATTTCCAAATTATCAAAACGTACAGAAGTCTACGGAAACTTTTTCCTTTTTAGTTATAAATTCGGAATATATAAAAGATCTTTCTCATAATTTTGATTACCTAACTCCCAATGGATGTTTATGCAGGCGTTTCAGTTTCAATATCATCATAACTTCATCGAAACATAAATTCTTTGCAACTTCGTTAGGAATACTTACTTTTGATCGTATCCGAAATTTCTTATAAGGTTACAATCAAAATATTTTTTCTCGATGATCTTCCCACGTGCATGATGTTCTCTCCGATCATACGACAATAATTTTCATGTGAAGGAAAGATAAATTGCTCGACAAATACAATATTCGAAAGATGTGACGCGTGATGTTAAAGATTTCCCTTTATCCGAATATGTGAAAGTTCAGGAAGATCACGTTACTATGGCGCTTAGGCTCACATTTCCCAGGTTTTAAAGTTTATTATTAATTAAATAAAGTTATATTTTTATCTTTATAAATTACGAATTAAAAATATTTATTCTATCACGCATATTTCATAATTCTATTATATTACATATGCGCGCATTTTAAAAATGTTACGCAAATCCCTAAAGTATATAATTCTTTGTCTATTAATTAAAGTTTCTCCTTTAGTACTAAACAAAAAAAAAATAATAACAAAAATAGGAAACAGCATAACATAAGTTCAGTGGAACAATAGGTTTGACAGTTGTTTATTCGTCTATTTAAACGGACGGAATGCCTTAATGAAGTCTTATATATATATAAAATAATAGAAATGTATGTAAAATATTGTGCTGCTGAACACTTTCACTTAGGTAGTTAATATCATAAAGTTCTGAGTTTTCTACAATCTTTATTTTTTTTTTTATCTTCATAAAAATCTCAAATGATCTAATTACGGAAATAGTAAATAGTGATTGAATTCCAAAGTTGCGCCCCTATGATCACATATTGCATTTATTGATTAATTCCCTCCTGTTGAAAATATAATAATAAATAAATAATATTATTAAAAAAAAAAATACATTAATTTTTTTAATTATCTTTTTTCTGAAAAAGAATAAAAAATAAATTAACTGGTAATTGCTTAGCGTGTACATTACATAATTATTTATATGGTACATTTTTATTTACATTTTTTTTATAATTCATAACGTAATATCCTCCTAAAAAACCTTGATGATTAGAGCATCTGAAAAGGAGGTGAAGTGATTTCAATAAACTTGACGGAAATTTTCCACCTTTATTAAATTGGTTTATTGGTTAATAAAAAAATTTTTTTTTTTTTAAAAAAAATCAAAGTATTAATAAAAAAAGGTAATGTTGAAAGGGATGATTTATAATTGTTAGGATTTAGTATTCTCTGATTTAAAGGGGATATATTGTTTGATTTAATTTGTAAAGTTTCTTTTGAATTGTTCATAAAGTTGGTAATTTGACTAACCTTCGATTACCTCATTGTGTTTACTTATAGTAAAAGATATTCCGTGTACATGAATAAAAACCATAAATGGATACAATCAAATGTTTGGTAAAAGATAACTATTTCTCACGCAATGTTTTTTTTTTAAAAAAAAAACAAAATAAAATAAAATAAAATAAAATAAAATAAATAAAATAAAATGGAATTTGTTCTTTTGTCCCACTGGGGGTCTCCTAGGATAACATGTGAAAATTAAATATTTGTCACCTATTATCTGTCACGCCATGAATCCAGGATCGAATGAACATTAAAAGAGAATTAAAAAAAGCAATTCTATAGTAAAGAATAGATTCGTATTTTCCTATCGAATAAATCGATGACCATGAAGATCACAATAATTTAAAGTTCAACCAAGATAAAAAATTACATGTTTGTATATATCACATATTTATAATATTTAAAAATTTGTATTAATCCATATTTGGTTAGTGATAAAGCCAAAAATAGTCAGTGATTAAGAGAAAAATAGTTAATGATATCAGATACGACGATTATTGTTGTTTTTTTTACTCACGGCATAGAATGCCTGATTTATTTCCATGTGACATTTCCCCCCACAAATAAATTACATATTATTAAATATTATCTAGATCTTATGAACAGGTTTTTTTTTTATATAGAAATAATAAGATCCCCGGAAATTTTGACTAAAAAAAATCATTATTTTATTACTACAATCAGATGTCAACCAAAAATCTGCGTTGTGTTACTAAGAAAGTAAGACAATTCTTTCTCTTAAAGTCCGTGATACAGTTCGTGTTGCTGATGGGGTAGAATTGGTAGAATTGGTAACTGCATACGCCAAAAATTTAAAAACCCCATTTAGTTCATCTGTATCTGTATTATCCAGTATAAATTTAAGACGAAATAAAGTCTTTTTTTTATAAAAAAAAAAAAAAAAATCAAAAAATGGCAAATTCCCTACGTACATTATCGACTCCGCTTGAATCGATTGAGTTTGGTATGGTATTAATAAAGAATTTTTATGATTATTGTTTTTCAAATTAATTAAATTAATTGATATTTTAAATATTTTTTGATTTCTCAAGAAAGTTAGTCAATATAGCTCCGACGAAGAAAGCGATCAACTTTCAGAAACGACACCACTCAATGCGAGAAATGATGACTTACCATGTATTTATAGTCTATCTATTAAGTTTGTATTTGTTTTTTCAAATATAACGAAATTATAAAAATTGACGAAAAAAATTTAATTTATTTTACACTTCCACATTTGATTTTTAGTACCTTCTACTTTTAGTATTAAACAACATAATCCTTGGATAGTTTTTAAAACTCGACTTCGATATTATGTTCCAGTATTTAGTTGGTTACCGACTTACTCTCTTGAAACATTTTGGGGTGATTTTGTGGCTGGTTTAACAGTAACTGCTATTCTATTACCTTCGGGTTTATCATATTCTGTATTGGCAAAGTTACCGGCAGTTCATGGTTTATACGCTATTGTAATACCGGGTGTTATTTATGCATTTCTTGGAACTTCAAGGTAAATTTATTAATATACATTACTTATTTATTTATTTATTTATTTATTTATCTATTTTTGAAATAATAATAATAATAATAATAATAATAATAATAATAATAATAATAATAATAATAATAATTATAATAATTATTTATTTTCTTTAGACAATTGGTTATAGGTCCAGAAGCTTTGATTGCTATGCTTGTTGGATCATCAGTGGCTCAACAACAAAAATATATTGGTAAAGAAGGTGATCCGGATACAGCCATAGCAATTGCTGGATTAATTACATTCTTTGTGGGAATTTTGACATTTATACTTGGAATAGTTCGATTGGGATTTTTGGATTCAGTTCTATCTCGTGCTTTATTACGAGGATTTATTTCTGCTATAGCAATTGTTATTATGATAGAACAACTTTTAAATATGTTAAAATTAACTGAGTACGCTGCTCGAGATGGTATTGGTCACGCGTCATCAACAGTTGAAAAATTTATTTATATTATCAAACATCTAAATAATGCGCATAGTCTTACGAGTATAGTTTCTTTTTCAAGTTTGGCATTTCTGATGATTTCTGGATTCGCTAAAAGTAAATTTTCCAAAAGATATGCCTGGGTTCAATTCATTCCTGAAATTCTTATCTGTGTAATTATCTTTACTATTCTTTGTTCAATTTTTGGATGGTATGATGATGGAGTTTTAATCCTTGGACAAATAAAAGGAGGTGGATTTCCTAAATTTAAAATTCCATTTCCTGCTTTACCTCATTACAAGGATTGTTTTCAGACAGCAGTTTTAGTTTCAGTTGTAGGATTTGTAGAATCAATTGTAGTTACCAAAACTTATGCGACAAAACATAATTATTCTGTTAGTGCTAATCGTGAATTAGTTGCACTTGGAGCTGCTAATTTAATTGGTAGTTTATTTCAATGTTTTCCCGCTTATGGTGGTATGGCAAGAAGTCGTATAAATGATAGAGCTGGGGCCAGAACTCAATTAGCTGGTTTAATAACTGGATTTTTCGTATTATTTTGTCTATTTTTCCTTCTTCCATTATTTTATTATTTACCAAGTCCAGTATTGGCATCGATTGTTTGTATGGCAGCTTTATCTTTATTACATGAACTTCCTCACGATTTATATTTCATGTATAAAATTAAAGCGTGGAATGATTATGCTTTATTACTTTTGACATTCTTTACTACAATCTTTGTATCAACTGAATATGGAACTTTGATCTCCGTGGCATTATCTTTAGTACTTGTAGTAAAACATTCTACTTATCCGAGAATTACAATACTGGTAAATTATTTTATATTATTATTATTTATTTATTCTGAATTTTTAAGAATTTATTGATAAATATTTTCATATATTATTTTTATTATATATATATATATATATACATATATTAATTGATCAATAATTATAAATCATTTTATTATTTTAAATCATAGGGTAGAATCGGTAATACGGACAAATTTAAACCAATTAAAGATTTCCCAGATCAAGCAGAACATGTAAAAGGGTTACTTGTAATCAGAATAGCGGAACCATTATACTTTGCTAATACTGGACAATTAAAAGATCGATTAAGACGATTAGAAGAATTTGGTGATATGAGTGTACATCCTTCTGAAGATGCTCGAATGTCACCAATTACAAATGTAATATTTGATATAGAAACAATGGAGAATCTTGATGCCAGGTAAAAAATAAATAAAAAATAAAAAATGAAATTTATTCACTTTTTACCATAATTAATGTCATAATACTAACAGTAAAGTAATTATTTAGTGCTGCGCAAATTTTAGTGGAAATTGTTGAAGCTTATAATCGTCGTGATGTTAAAGTATATTTTACTAAATTACGTGAAAATCAAAAGAAATTATTCATTCGATCAGGTTTATGGGATAAAGTGGGAGAAGATCATTTCTTTAGGCACGTATTTTTTTTAAAAAATTTTATTATTATTATTTTTATTTTTTCTAAAGAATAATTTCAACTAACATTCGCATTTTTTGTTTTAATATATACATATATATATATATATATATTACAGACGTATCCCTGATGTGTTGGAATATATTAATAGTAGAGGATTTAATATGAATCATTAATTTTATAGATGATTAATTCACTTTTTAAAAGTATATCTAATGATAAAAAAATTAACTAAATTAGAAAAAAAATTGGTATATTTTAAAAAATGAAATATTTTAAATAAATATTATAAAATATTCATTGATATTGATTATCAAAAGCATATATAGACAAATTTTCATAGAGTATAAGTGGCAAATCCTATCAATTATAAATTTATGTAGCAAAACATACAATAAATAAATATTTATATATATATATATAATTTTATTAACCAACCATGCAATTATTTGAAATATACACATTAACAATACTTACTTATATATTGGAGATGGACTTTTTTGTTTGAAATTTTAATATAATTTATGAGATAGACATTTTATTTAAAGTTTTTCCTAATTCGAGGAATTACGTTAGCTTTGGTTTCGTAATATGTATGATGATAAAAGCGATAATCCAAATCACTTATCCATTGTACCCTTTTCTGGCAAGATCTTCGCCTCCCAATTTGGAAAAAACGGAGGTTTTCATATAACTTAATCCGTTACACAAAAACCAATTCTTAATTTGTTAAACAAATAAAAAAATAAAATAACATTATTTAACGTCTGAAAACAAAAATAAGATGAATTTTCATTAAGTAGGGTGGTGTTAGATCTAGGTTGATGGGTTTTAAGTTACCTACTAGTGGTCTAGTTACGCTTAAACTTTATTTATTTTAAAATTTTGTACTGAGTTTTTTTTTTTTTTATTTAGAGGCCAGAAAGTAGTTGTCTTAATAAAATATTAAGATTTTAAAATATTGTGATTGTCACCGCTGGGTAAAATTACATAATTCCCTGATCAACCCCTAACCCACGTAAATTTAATTTTTGCCCAGTGGTGACAATCACCACCAGTGAGCTTTAGCAATTTTCTTTAAAATATTTTAAAAATTAATTGAATTATAATTGGCTAAAAGGAGTTCACCTGATCTGAAATAAGATACATAGGATAAAAAAAATGTAATGATACTAACTAATGAATACCTGACCATTATCGTTAATGGTGACCTTCTCCGCCCCACGAAGTAGGTGTCTACACATTTTTTTTTATAAAACTGAGCCTATTTATTCATCTAAGTCAAATCATTATTATAATTACAAAATCATCTTTTTTCGGTAGTATAAGCCTTATTCTTGTTTAATCAAAATCCCTCCATATCAGGATAAATCAGGTATACATAATAATTCTATGATGCATCGTAAATTATCATGAATTGACGTTTCGAAATATTCTTTACGTTACGTGCTATACATTTGAAAATTTTATCAAACCTTTTTTTGTGCAATTTGTGGTTATATTCTCTTTATTCCCTTTCATTCTATTTAATTCTCTTTTATTAATAAATCATAAAAAAATAATATTTCCACATTTTAAAATTTCCGCCTATTAAAGTATTATCAGTATTATGGTTTTCCGAATGTGATTTAAAATTGAGTTTAGATTTAATTCTTACGTAGTGGAGAATTATTTTCTACAAAATTAAGGTGTATTGTCTTTGTTTTAATTCTGGTAAAACTAATTTTTAAGTCGTCATTTATTATTTCGATAAATTATAAATAAAACACGAATTTAGGTAGATTTGACTGAATTAGTTAAAATTAAGTAGTTATCGAAATTTTACATCAAAATTTATGAATAAAATGATGATTGCTGAATTTTGAAGTTAATAAAAAATTATTTATTAAGAACATGATTTTGTTTAGATTATCACTAATTTAATTGCAAATATTCAAATATTCAAATAAGAAAAATTTTTAAAATATGTTATCAAAAGTAGGTAATTGTATAAAAATCTGCTTTAATCGAAAATTAAAATTCTTCCAATATTCAGACTTATAGATTCAATTATAGTATTGAAATTTTATAAATTCATATGTAATCAAGTGATTTCTTTAAAATGAATTTTACCAATAATAATTGTATAATTGCCCGACTTTATTTCCTAGTACATTGTACATTTATATATATTATTATGATGAAAATTAGAAAAATTAGACGTAATTTCATGCGACGATCAAAAAAGAAATATGATTGTTTACATGCTTAAACTCAGACGCGTCACGTAAACAAGAAAATTAAATATAACCACCCAATTGTTTGTTTGCTTGATCTGAAATTTAATTTTACATTCACTCACCCAACTCACTCTCAACTCGCTACTTATTTGGTTATCTTCTACACACTTTTATTTGCTTTACATACTGCTCTTAACTTTTCTACAAAATTTTATTTTCAGGTACTTTAAACATGAATATTTTTATTATCTATCTTTGGTTTGTAAAGCTAATTCTATCTTTTTTTTCTATCTTTTTATATACCAAAAAGAATGTTTTCTAAACAAATTGGCACTTTAACTGCTTTCGCTGGTGTTGTAGCTGTCTCAGTTTCTGTCATCATATCAGCATTCAATAAGTACTTGTATGTATTCTTAAAAATAAATACATTAAAAATGAACTAACTTATCTTTTATTTATAGTGAAATCAAAGAAAATACTGATAAAATTAACGAAGAAATAAATAATGAAACAAAAAATAAATCACTCTCAATTCTTTGTAAGTATCAAACTTTGTGTATCAGTTATTTTAAATATACGTATATATATGTCTAACTTTTTTTTTTTTGATTTCTAGGCGATTCACAATATTTAATATATCAATTAAAAAACAAACCATTTATAAGTTCACCATTAGTACCCAAAGAAAAACAACAAAAGTTGAATAAGGTGATCTCAAAACGATACACTGGATTGGCGAATACTTCAGCTGTTACACTTGGTGTCCACGATGACAATCAATATGATGATGATGACGAACATTTTGATCAATTAGGTGAATTGGGTGAATATAACGATGTGAACAAATATTATAATGATGAATATAACGATGTGAACAAATATTATAATGATGAATATAACGATATGAACAAATATTATAATGATGAATCTGATAATGATCTTGAAGACAATGCCAAATATTATGAATTAGAAGAAGTTGGCAAATATTTTGAAGTTCACGATGGATGTGATTATATTGATGCAGACAAAGAATCTAATGAAGAATCCGATGAAGATCAGGAAAAATATTTTGATGGTTATGCTAATGAAGTCATTGTCAATTATAATGAATTAGAAGATGTTAGCAAATATTTTAAATATTTTGAAGTTCACGATGGATGTGACGATATTGATGCAGATAAAGAATCTAATGATGACGATGAATCTGATGATGATAATGATCAGGAAAAATATTTTGGTTGTTATGCTTATGAATTAGAAGATGTTGGAAAATCTTTTGAAGTTCACGATGGATGTGATGATATTGGTGCTGGTGCATATAAAGAATCTAACGAAGAATCTGATGACGATCTGGAAAAATATTTTGAAGGTTATAACACTAATAATGCTAACGGAAATGAAGGATCTGAAGATTCAGATGATGATTATGAATCTGATGAAAATGATGAATATGAAGCAAGATCCGATGAAGATGATGAATGTGAAGAGTATTTTGAAAATGATGAGTTTGAAAATAATGAATTTGAAAATGTTAAATATATTGATCCTAATCCCAAGTCAGGAAAAATGTAAATATAAAAAAAAAATTATTCGTATTTTTTATTATATTGTACATATATTATAAATTAACGAATTTTTTATTTTAGTGTTAAACTCGAAATTACGGAAGATGAAAAGCGAGCGGCAAGTCTTAATTTGATACGCTCATTTGAACAGCTTGAAAAATTACTTGAGAATGAAGGATATAACGTTGAAATTCCGCGACCTGACTATTAAGTCTGTTGATACATTATTGTGCCACTCTTTATCTTGTTTTACTTTGCTAATATTAATATGCTTTTTATAGTTTTTATAGATTTTTATTTGTTCTATTTGAATAAAATTGCACGTCTATAAAATACAAAATGTTTTGTAGCAATATTAAATAAAGAAATCTATTTACAAATGATTATATTAATCATTATTCTTATAATTTATTAAATTCACAAGAACTGGAAATTAATTCTAGAAAAATATTTCTAAATCCATATTTACTGATTATATTGTTAATTTTATAATGTATGTATTTAAAAAATAATATTTTAGTTTGAAAAGAAGCTAGATCCAAAAAAAAAAATGTGAATATTATTATAAAATAATCAATAAATGCCAGAACAATAAAAGGAAAACGAAATAAAATAATGAATTTTTATCAAAAAGTATATTGATTGATGTAAGAACAAACAATGATGAAAATATGATATAATGTGGATCTTTTGGTCCTTAAATTAGTAAAATTATTTATTACAGGTTCTTCAATCTATCTGGCTGGAATATTCAAGTTTTATTTGCAAAAAAAATATGAGCCATCAGTAAATTTGTACAAAAAATATAAGCCATTAATATTCAAGTTTTATAATCTAAGCCATCAATATTTAGGTAGGTTTTTTGAAAAAAAAAACACCTCCTTTTTTGACTTGTTATTTTACATTCTACTTTTATTTAAAATCTTTAAAAACCTCTTCTGCAAATTTTGAAATTAGTTAAATGTAAAACTTTATAATTTGCAATCTTTCCTAAGCTACTTTTCACAATTAAATTAAAGCCAATCTGGTGCTTTAAAAATGGCCCATGACCAATATAGATAATCCATTTTGAAAATAATACACATTAATACAGATAAACAGTTATGGATTTTTTTGCAAATTTGTAAAAAATATAAAGCCATATTTTAAAAGTAGTAGTAAAATGAATGATTCAGAGAAATATATCAAATGTATTCTTGATTTTATAATATAGAAAATTTTATCTTATAATATAAAAGTAATTTGAATATTTCCAAGAATAAATGTGATTCCATTATTTTTTTCAGATAGTATTTTGTGATTTTTTGTTTTTTATTAAGATTTAATTATCTATTGTCAAAAAAGAGAAAAATTAAGTTATTGTATTTGATAAAACTTAAATAATTTTTTTGCATATATTGTAGAAATGATTTCTAAAATGAAAAATGTTATATTACATTTTGAAAGAAATAATAGACAGATTGTAAATTCCACAAAATATTTAACAAAACCAGATAAAATATTTTAGCAATATCTATAGTTACTTTCTTTGCTAACAGATATATTCTCACAATTTATAAATGAAAAAAAAAGAGAAAGAAAAAGTTATCTATTAAAGAAGATCTTTTTTTGAACACAATATTTCTTTTCTTTATTTTTTTTTTATTTTTTTTTATTTAATCTTGATTTTAGAAGAAAAAGAAGTTGGAAAGTCTAATTCTAAGTTTAATTAATTAATTAGTCAAATGAGATAAATTAGATCTGAATTTATTTAGAAGATCTATAGAAAGTTTAAAATAAATTAAAAAAAGAATTTAACCATTAGTCATATGTTCAAAAGTTTAATTGTGCCACATAAAAGATTAGAAAATAAATAGACTGCCACTCCTTGAACTTGAAACCCTTTGCTCTACTTCCTATCTCAAAAAACAAAGATTCTGAAAAGAAAGATCTTAAGTTAAAAAGTTGTGAAAAATTGTGAAAAGTCACAAATATAAACAAAAACTTCTGGACTAGAAGTATCTAGATCAAAAGAAGTTGAAAATGTATAAAAAAATAAGAAAAGAACTTTATAATATAACAGTCCAGTCAGGAGTTTTACCAAATTTTAATGGAATTCTAGAATGATCTATGGGAAATTCTTGAAACTTAATTGGTTCCTGCTTATTTTTTTAAATTTAAAAATTTAAATTCTAAATCAAATCCAAAAAATATATGAATATTTAGTAAAAGACATCTAGTTTTTATAATCACAAATAATTCCAAGTAATCTTGTCTTGTTAAAGTTCCTTAAAAAAGTAAATGAATAGATCTTAAAATTTGAAATCTTGTAAAATGAATTATAAATATTAAAAAAAAAATTTTTTTCAATAACCTTTTAGTATCTACCTATTTGAAACCAAGAGCAAAAGACCTTCCATGTCCCTTTGCAGAGTTAGTTGAGAAATACAATGAAGTTGGATTAAAATCATGCAAAATAAAGGAATTACAAAAATGGTAAAATGCTAGTAATTCAGAAACAACTAAGTGATTTACAATTTATTACTATTATTTTTCTGAACTTTCTAATCTTTATTTTTTTTAAAATCTTATTCAATTTGTAAAAGACACTATAATCAAATTATTGTAACTATTAATTTTATCAACATTTTACAAGTTCTATACATGAAAATAAAAGATTCTGGCTCAATACTGAAGAAAAAAATATAATTACTCCTGTCAATCATTCTGATTTAATTATTAAACTTAATAATACTAAACGACTTTTAGAACTTAATCAATTGGAAATTCAACAAAAATCACAATCAATAACAGACCTAAATGATCAAATCATACAAATGTAATGGCAATTAGAAGATTAAAGAACTGAAATAGAAAAATTAAAAAACAATTACAAAAAGTTTATGAAGATATAGTTGAAATTCATGATCCATATAATGAACAATGTAGAAAGAACAGAATTCTTATTAGACAACAAAATTCACAATTCATTAATTAACAAGAATGTATCAAGGCAATTATTAAAATAGCAAATACAGAATGTGAATCATTATTTGATGATATAGAATCATTGATCAGAGATAATAATAAGTTTTCAATCAAAAGTCTTATAACATACACCTCATGAGAATGGCTCAATAAATGAAATCATATTGCCATTAAATTTATTGATACATTCTTTCATAACAATTAAGATAATACTTTAAGTCAGGAAAAGATTTTTAAAACCACAGTTACGATCGATGCAATATATAGAGCATGACACAGAAAATATGTATCAGAGATTTAGCTTGTAGCCTCAGCTATCAAATATTCAATTGCACAATCAAAGATAATAATTAATATTGACAATTATATTACAAGTTTGAAAAGTTATTATTGGTTTTAAAAATGGTTAGAAGAGTTGTCAGAGAATGAAGAATTATTACCTGAAGACTTTTTATTTCTTGCTTTTGATAATGAACAAAGAGAACAAAAAAATTATCTTGATTGAGAATCTAATATAATTATTTTTTATATCATTACCAGTTTTGTTACTTTTAATATGATATCACAAAATAAAATTCAACATATTAATTCATTCTGGATGTTTAATTCTCTCAATAGGTTACAATATGAAGAACTTTCAAAATTAATTCCTGGATACAGGATGTTCTTGATAGAGAATTATATAGTTTTTTATCTGAAATTTTTAATTTATTATCTGAAGAAAAATCATCTGTTATTAATACTATTGACTCTTTAATAGTATCTGCAGAAACCAATATTATCAGTATAAAACATTGTTTTAATTACCATCAAAAAAATATCAAAAATTGAAAACAAATATGTCCAAAAGTACAAAACGCGATTGTTTACATCAGCAGAAATTCAAAAAGAAAAATCAATTAATATTGAAGATAAAACTGTTAATTATTCAATGATATCACTTATATTTAAATCTTGTAACTTTATCAAGTACTATATCCTCTTCTCGAATTAGTCTTACTCAATGATCAGCTGATTATAGAGTTAATATCCTAGAGATCTATATTTCTGATCCAATTAATTTAAATCCAACTTAATTGCAAATATTGAAAAAGTCTTACTTCATATAGAAAAAATTTGGTATTAAAAATGAAATGAGAAAATGGATAACTGTAACCTGTGATAGCATACCATATCACCATGTTACTAAAATAAAAAAAAATTCCCTTGGTTAATTCTTATTCCAGAACAATTACATGAGAAGATGAATATGCTTAAAGCATATGTAAAGCTGAATTGGTAATTCCATTTTTTAATTAAAAAAATAATTTTTATTAATAAATTATATTTTTTTAATTAATAATTAGAAAAATCGATTTAAAGCAATTTGTGATTTGTCAAGGTTATCAAATGGATAATCAACTTTCTTTTTTTAAAAAATGTATTAATTACCATAAGTCTTGAGATTCAATTTACAATATGTACTGTTAAGCAATAGTCATGAAACTTATGTGACCATATATAAAAAATATTTTGATCTTTAAGTTGAAGGATATATTACCTAAGCTAAAAAGTAATAAGATTTACTTTATCAAATAAAATGTGAACAAACATTTGTTTATTCTCAAACAATTATTAGCTATCAGAAGGCCATAAGAACCAATGATCCTTTTCTAAAAAGAGCTACTAAATGAATATTTTCTCCAATTTGATTTGCAAGGTGTATACGTGTTGCCCAAATCCCAAATCATTTGGGATTTGGGACGCCAAAATCCCAAATTACTAGTATTTGGGATT